CATCAGAATTTGTGAACGTGTCTCGGTGGTACAACCATATCACTGCACTTCTTAGGATTTCGTAAGTTCTTATAACTTGTGATGGGTTTCTTTTATCTTTATTATTAGATTATGATGGATTTCTTCAAAGATCATATATTTGGGTTAAATCTTTGACTTATTTGATTTTGTCTGTTGTTGTAGTGGTGTTTCTGGACAAGGCTCTGGTGTCATTGTTGAGGGATCTGCTCCCATCACAGAGGAAGCTGTTGCTACACCTCCTGTGGCTGATACAAAGGCAAGCACTTTTCTGCCCTATTTACTGAGTTCTTATTTGGATGTCTGTTTGCTTTTTTGCTTATAATGTGGAGTGTTAGGGTTGGGCCATTATTGCTTTATCCGCTTTAAGAAATTGCATACAATTGTTATGCTCATGTGTTAGAATGTGATACGGTTTTCAGGCCTCAGCTGCTGAAGACAGTGATGATGATGTGGATCTGTTTGGCGAAGAGACTGAAGAAGAGAAGAAGGCTGCTGAAGAGCGTGCAGCTTCCATCAAGGCATCTACAAAAAAGAAAGAATGTTAGTTTCCTATCTGATTTTCATCCCTTTCATATTAGTTTCCTATCTTGTTTTCAGCCCCTTAATATTAGTTTCCTATCTTGTTTTCAGCCCTTTAATATTAGTTTCCTATCTTGTTTTCAGCCCTTTAATATTAGTTTCCTATCTTGTTTTCAGCCCTTTAATATTAGTTTCCTATCTTGTTTTCAGCCCTTTAATATTAGTTTCCTATCTTGTTTTCAGCCCTTTAATATTAGTTTCCTATCTTGTTTTCAGCCCTTTAATATTAGTTTCCTATCTTGTTTTCAGCCCTTTAATATTAGTTTCCTATCTTGTTTTCAGCCCTTTAATATTAGTTTCCTATCTTGTTTTCAGCCCTTTAATATTAGTTTCCTATCTTGTTTTCAGCCCTTTAATATTAGTTTCCTATCTTGTTTTCAGCCCTTTAATATTAGTTTCCTATCTTGTTTTCAGCCCTTTAATATTAGTTTCCTATCTTGTTTTCAGCCCTTTAATATTAGTTTCCTATCTTGTTTTCAGCCCTTTAATATTAGTTTCCTATCTTGTTTTCAGCCCTTTAATATTAGTTTCCTATCTTGTTTTCAGCCCTTTAATATTAGTTTCCTATCTTGTTTTCAGCCCTTTAATACATCCATCTCCTTTCCCCATTCACGTTGTTTATTTCGTTCTGAAGGTTTGTTGTTGTATTTTTCCATTGTCAGCTGGAAAGTCATCAGTCCTGTTGGATGTGAAGCCATGGGATGATGAGACTGACATGAAAAAGCTTGAGGAGGCAGTAAGAAGTGTTCACATGGAAGGCTTGCATTGGGGAGCATGTAAGTTCTTTCATCTAAGTTAATTGCAGTTATAAGCTAAGGGCCAGATTTTCTAACCATAGTTAGCAACAAAATTTGGCCATTGATATGCACTTAATACATTAGCAATGTGGAAGTCAATGTTATGAAGTTTTTAGTCCTCTTGATTGATGCTAAACCAACCTTTATGTTCCAAATTTGGTTATTTATTATCTTGTTGATTCTGCAGCCAAACTTGTAGCTGTTGGGTATGGAATAAAGAAGTTGCAAATAATGCTAACAATTGTTGATGACCTGGTCTCTGTTGACACTCTTATTGAGGAACAACTTACTGTTGAACCAATTAATGAGTATGTCCAGAGCTGTGACATTGTAGCCTTCAACAAAATATGTAAGTATATTTAAAGTTTGTAATCAAGTAATCATTTTATGGACTATTTGTTCAAGATACGAATCCTCACTGTTGATTTATCCTTACCCTTTGTTTCTCATTGCAGGATTGGAGCATGGAGTGTTCTAGTGTGAGAGGGGTTGCTAGGAAGATATTTTATATCTGCTCGTATCTTGTTTCTTGGGGCATGATTTGAGACTTTATATTATCTTTGGTTATGATGTATTTTAGCATTCCTTTCATGAATAATATGCCAGTCCTTTGTAGGTGCTTGCTAAACCCAAATGCAAGTGTCGTGCAATAGTAAATCTTGTAAGTCGAGTACTGTATTCACAAAGAGTGGTGTTAAAGTGCACAAAATACGTAAGATAACTGGAACAAGAAGAATATGATTAAAAGATTAGAAGAAAGTTCAATAATAATAAAACACTAAGACGTCGGGGTTCTACCTTCAAAATACGTATGTAATCCCATTAATTTGATTCTCACTATGATTGTTCACATTTAAAACCCAATTTAATTTCGTAACTTGTACCTACAGCAACAACCTATCAAGAAATAATTTCAATGAATAAGATTATCAAGCACCCATCAATCGATCAAAGAGAAAAATTAAAATTAAATTGAACAAATCCATAAATAAGAATTTAACGTTAAAGCTCCATTCAAATCAAACTAATGAAATCACATAGTATCTCGAAGGCTTTTCCCCTAGCTTTGGCTAGGGAGTTAGTTCTCCATAACAAAGAAAAATAACTCTAGAAAAATAAAGTATTTTGGGCCAAAAAGCTGAATCACTGAGACGGAGCAAGTAGAACCCTTTTATAACAGTCAAATCCTAACCCCTTAGGATTTATTTTCCTCCTTGAATTTAACTTCTCTACAATCCTATGCATGCACGTCAGCTTCCTCTTTTGATAAGTCATGGTCTCTTACTTAGCACGTGATGAGTCTCCAACCAATTGGCTTAGTTTTCTCTTTTACTTCATCTCTTTTGCACTCCAGCAAGCTGCCCACATAATTCCAATATTATTTGCCTACATAAAAATATAATAGACCAAAATGAATAAATTAGTAAATAAATAAGCTCTAAGGGTATATTTAAGGGACATACACGATGCATTTTTCAGCTATTATCAGTAGGTTTGATAAGACATAAGTTTATCTTCATTCATATTCTCAGTTTTGTTCTGTTGGTGCTTGGAAGTTTGTTTTGTTTGCTCAAGGATTTGATCTTTATGGTTGTCAAAAGAATCAATGGTTCAAGGATAATATCTGAATTTGATATATATGCCCCACACGACTGATATACCTAATAAAAACATTGTTCACTGGTGCCATTTTGGTGCCAAACAGGCTTCCAAATAGGCACTTATACATGTTCATTCTTTATGAAGTTGATGACTTAGTTCACTGGTGCCATTTTGAATTTAAGAATCTTTAGTTGATTTCATGATTATAATTCACACCAGCGTTTTTGGTATCTGCAATTGTCCTATGAACTTATGAAGGGTGGTGCAGAAAGGGAACAAGGCCTGCTTCAGATACTAACAGAGATGGATGGATTTAAAGAGTTTACCTCACAGGTATGTATTTTCTTCCTCCTTGAATTCAAAACGAAATTTTGTATCTTGGCTGCTAATTTTGTCTTTTTCAGGTGCTAGTTATAGGTGCAACAAATAGATTAGATATCCTTGATCCTGCTCTATTGAGAAAGGGCCGCTTTGACAAGATTATAAGAGTTGGTTTGCCATCAAAGGATGGTAGACTGGCCATATTGAAGGGGTTTTTTTTTATTGCTTCTAGCATTAGAAACTCTAGCTTCTGAAATTTTTCTAGTCCTTGCATAACGTTCTCCTTTTTATGCCAATAGGTGCATGCTACAAATAAATTTTTTCGTTCTGAAGAAGAGAAGGAGGTTCTCCTTCAGGAAATTGCAAAGCTTACGGAGGATTTCACGGGTGCAGAGTTGCATAACATACTGTAATTTATTCCTAATTGGTAGTTAAAATTTTCAATTTAGTAGCAATAGAGTGATGCACTGATGCTTACATTTTTCCCATCACCTGACAGGAATGAAGCCGGAATTTTGATTGCCAGGAAGGACTTAGATTTCATCGGACAAGAAGAGCTTCTAGAGGCTTTGAAAAGGGTTGGTGGAGTTTTTACCCATCCAGCTATCCCTTTTTGGGCGATATTATGCACTGTTGGCGTGACTTGTGGACTATTGACTTACTTTTCTTACACACCAAGAATTCCTATTATAATTGTAATTGATTTACTTTAATTCCTGATTTCCTACTGTAAATAGATTTAGGAATTTATTATTTACTTGCTCATTCAGGTTTCGTTGTATTATAAATATGATCTCGTACAAGGAGAATAATACACAGAAAATTCCCACAAACAAATATTCTCATATTAGGTTTCATATTTTAGCATGGTATCAGAGCGGCGATCGTGGAATTGCTGACTCTAGTTTCAAACCCCCGCTGCTACTATGGGGGTTGATGATATTTTCAACCCTGATGGAGGTAGCACTACCGACTCATTCTCTCTTTCTCAACCAACCATAGCCGAGTTGAGTGCCCAAGCGGCTCAGCTCCTACAGATACAACCTTTGACCCCGAACCCAATCATGAATCAAGATCCTATTTTGATGACCCCGAACCTGATCTTGAATCAAGATCCTATTTTGACGACCCCGACTACGATGACGACAACTCTGACCATGACTCTGATGATGACCCGACTCGAATTTGTCTCTGATTTAGACCCAAATCCCGACTTCGACTCTAACTCCGGCCCCGACTCAGGCTCAGCCCCATATCAGGATTCCTACTGTATCCTATGCATCTTCCTCTGCACAGATTATGACTTCCCGACTAACGACCCCGACACATGGACGAGATTGCTCATATTATGGTGATTCAAGACACACTCGTGAGACTTGTTTTAAATTGCATGGCTACCCCGAATGGTGGGCTACCCTCAAAAATTGAACACAACGCAATGCGACCAGTAATGGTACTAGTTATGGATTCCATACTTTGGATAAGATTGATTCTAGTAGTTGGATAATTGATTTCGGTGCAACTGATCATATGACGTTTGATCCTGATGATTTTCTGAATACTACACAACCCCGATGAACTTGTATTGCTAACGCCAACGGAGTTACTTATCTTGTGACAGGAGCTGGCACTATTGCACTCTCATCCTCTCTCTCACTGTCTAATACTTTACTTGTTCCATCTTTGTCTAATAAATTGATGTCTGTCAGTCAACTTACTGAACAATTGAATTGTTGTATACTAATTTATCTGAGATTTTGTTTGCTTCAGGATATTCACACTGAGGAGATTCTTGGTCGTGGTATTAAGATAGGGGGGCTATATTATATAGATGACTTCAGTCCTGGCATGACTAATAGTGTGACGCATCCCTCTAATAGCAAACAAAAGCTAATCTGGTTGTGGCACCGTCGATTGGGACATCCGTCTTTTAGTTATATGAAGTATCTTATGCCATATTTATTTTCAGGTTTCAAGGACTCCGACTTCACATGTGACACTTGTATTTTGGCCAAGAGTCACCGTGTGCCCTATCCGTTGAGTACGACTAAGTGTACTACCCTGTTTATGTTAATTCACTCTGATGTCTGGGGACCTTCACCTATCACTGCTCCTTTTGGCGTTCGGTGGTTCGTCACATTCGTAGATGATTGTACGCGGATGACATGGCTTTATTTGCTGAAGAATAAAAATGAAGTGTTTTCTCGTTTTCAGTTCTTCCACAAACAGATGAAAACTCAGTTCAATGCTCAAATACAGATTCTTCGCTCAGACAATGGTTGAGAATTTGTCAATCATGACTTTCGGACTTACTTCCAATAATATGGAATTATATATCCATGAGATGACTTGTCCTCAAACACCACAACAAAATAGTGTTGCTGAACGAAATAATCGACATCTTCTTGAAACCACCCAAACACTTCTTATTGGAGCTCATGTTCCTCGCCATCACTGGGATGATACTTGTTTGTGCCTGATAAATCACGGCCATAAGCTGGCCGAAGGAGCCCTTTCTCTCGGCCCTGGCACTTGTTCGTAAAAATTGAACCGCAGCGTTTCGCCAAGGTACTTCGCCTTCCTAAAGACAAAAGAAGAAATGCTAAGGCATGATCATCTGGGCCTCAAGCGCAGGCCGAGGCCGAGGCCGAACAAAGTCGCGGTCAAGGCATTAAAGGCAAATCATCACGTGACAGCAGGGTCCCAGGCTTCATTTAATGAAGTAGTGCCTGTTTAATGCAGCAAACCCATTGGCCACAAAGAAGCATTTAATGCATGAGGGAAGGTGGGAAGTGACTGAAGTCAGGATTTGGTGATGAGGATCAGAGTGATTAGACGTGGACATTCTCACAAGAATTCTGACAGCCTGAGATATTGGTTCACCAGCTATCCAGGCCATAAATGCGTCTCCACGGCCAGAAGCTCAGAACCCACGATTAAGAGCGGCGGCCGAGATTCACCGGGATTTCTAGGGTCACACCACCATACTTCACGATCCTAAATGTCGATTGGACTGCCCACTTGCGCTAATCAGACTCCACTATGCGTAAATTCAGCCTCGATTACTCATCCAGGGACTCTTCCTATAAATACAAGACTCGAGCTACATTCAAAGGGTCCAACACCAAAACAAAGCCTCCCATGGAGCAACTTATTTTTTCCTATAATGCACTTTCAATATCTTTACTGCTTTCCTAGGAGTAGTGTTAGATTGTAAGGAAAATCCATTCATCAATATATCATACGACCCTTGAGTTTCAAGGCACCGGAGCACCATCCTTGTTGTTCGTTCACTCACCCCATATATGACACGACCGTCGCTCCCTAAGCAGCGCGCCGGAGCACCGCCTAAAACCCACCACCAACACCATCACTCAACGGCCTTGTAGTTCAGGCCGTGAACCTAACAGCCGAGACCAGTTCCTCTCTCGGCTACAATCGTTTGACTAGGAATACAGTTCAAACAGGCGCACCACTTATCCATCCAACACTCATCAACACATCGACGCACGGTAGACCATGCTGGCACGCCCGCGCACAACCGCACCGCACCCAAAAGCAGGAAACCGCGTGTTAACGCACATCCCCTCGGCCCGGAACTCCAAGCCATGAGATTTGTGCGGCAGACACTTTTGGCATGCCCAGTGGGACACTTGTCAAAAATTTATGGTGGAAACTAGGGCACAGGCAAAGCTCAAAAACAAAGCAGTCGAAATGACTTCTGAGACTCCTGAGTCCACTTCACCGATTACCGTGACCGAACATACGGTCGGAATCTCGGCCAGCGTTCCAGTAATGACGGATCGTACGGCCGAGTCCATACAGGAACAAGTAGTAATGGAGGATTTGATGTCCAGGCAGGCTTGCAGGATGGAAACATCCTTCATGGCCACGATGGACAGATTCTCTTCAGAGCTACGAACGCTTTTCCAGGAGAGAATGCCGGTGACTTCGCCCGCAACACCCCCTAGAGCCAGACATAGAAGCCAGGAACGCGAAAAGATTGAGCCATACGGTGAAAGCAGCAACCTTGGCGTCTTTTCCCGTACCCAAGCGTTAGGCTACGGCCAGCATTCTTTGCCGCCGACCAACAGCTGGGGGCAATCCCAGCCCCCAAGGGCGAGTCCCGAACCAAACCAACCGGTAAAGAGAGCATGTAGCCCGCTCCACGCTCTAGCCAAAGCATTCAGGAGGAGTCCTACGGTGTCTACGACCGAGAAATTCGGCCCAACCCATACTTTGGCCGATCAAGCACAGTCCGGCCAAAGCAGTATGACCGAAGCGTTACCGCAACAATGCGATCAGAAAGGCTTGGCCGTCACGCTGCCAGAACAAATATACGATCCGGCCATTCCGACGACAACGCGGGCCTATCTAGGTTCCCAGTATGATGCCATCCAACAGAACCAGTTGGTTATACCTCGATGTCCAGCGGACCGAGCTCATCTCGGCCAAACCCACGGCGTTCCTCTGAAACTACCCGGCTCGGTCAAAATGACCGGGCCCCGTGCTCAGAAGACCCAACAGGAAAGGCCGCGAAACGATGCGCGACAGGGCAAGCCTTTTCAAAGGTCTCTGATCGAAGACGTCCGAGCTGTCTTGAAGGACGTTTCAATACAAGGGGAATCGGGGGTACCAGGGTGCACAAAGCCGTGCCTATCAAGCAAGCCCATGGTTTGGCGCAATTTATTTCCCAAAGTTTTTTGGGAACGCCGAGCCTCAAAAAACTCGGCCGTGGGTACATCTCCTTATATCTTGGCCGACGGCCACGACACTGATGAACCACTAAAGCGGATGACGCCCGGGAAATTAGAAGATCCGAAAGAGTCGAGACTTGGCGTCTACAACTCGGCGCAAGTTCAAAAGAAAATGGCGCCGAGGACCTACGACAAGAAAGTCAAGAAGAAGAAAAAAAAGGAAGGTAGGCGGAGGGGCTAAAGCGAAAGGCCCGACCGTCATATAGAAAAGGAAAGTATACTTTTCATTCTTCAGAAAAGAAGGCCCTTGCCTTACATTTAGTTAAAAAGGGGCATTACTTACGAAATAGAATGGCCAGTCACGGCCGAAATAATATATATATATATATATGTGTGTGTTTAAATAAAATAATGTATGTGAATTTTTATTACATCCCAAAAAAGAGAAAAAGAAAAATAGTTGAAATGGCCGCTGTTCGCCCGCTTAGACCCCTTCGCTGAACATCCCCCAGATCAGGCAGGTGATCCTTCTCCAAGCAATGTCCCCACCGTTGATATCCGCCTGCCATCTCGCTTGAATCAGCTTCCGCTCGGCCAGGGCCTTCTTCGTCTCAGTCGCTGCTTTGAGGATTCTCTTGGCCGAGGATTTCAGCTCGCTCCCGGCTGCGACCGCGCCATCTTGGCGTTGGAGGATGAGATCTCGGCGAGCTTGGAGCTCGGTAATCTGGGCCTCAACCTGCGCAAGCTCTTCATTCTCTCGTTGAATGACGAGGTCATTTTCTTTCAGTCGGGCCATTGCAGGTTGAACTTGTTCTTTAATCACCTCCAGATCCTGCTCGAGCGAGCTCCCCTCGGCCATCCGCGCGGCAGCTTCAGCATACCAGTCGATCATCTCCTCGCCTTCGGCCAGACGGGCTTGCAGTTCATCTAGTTGAGCCGAGTCGAGCAGGCCGAGCGCCATGGCCGTATCCAAGCAGGACCTAAACTCTGTAATCGCCCTAGCAGTGGTCATTTGC